CAAATGCACAGGTATAGTATAGGGGGTACCTTGCTCAATAGTAGTAACTGTGAGAGGGATCTCGGAGTCCTAGTGGACAATCACTTAAATATGAGTCAGCTGTGTGCTGCAGCTGCCAAAAAAGCCAACACTGTGCTAGGCTGCATTAACAAAGGGATAGAATCAAGATCACGTGAAGTGTTAATACCATTTTACAATGCCTTGGTAAGGTCACACGTGGAATACTGCATCCAGTTTTGGTTACCATGATGTAAAAAAGATGTTGAGACTCTAGAAAGAGTATAGAGAAGAGCAACAAAGATGATTAGCGCACTGGGGGCTAAAACATATAAGGAACAGTTGCTGGAATTGGGAATGTCTCTAGTCTAATGAAGAGAAGGACGAGGGAGGACATGATAGCAGTGTTCCAATATCTCAGGGACTGACACAAAGAAAAGGGAGTCAAGCTATTCTCCAAGGCGCCTGAAGGGAGGACAAGAAGCAACGGATGGAAACTAATCAAGGAGAGAAGCAACCTAGAACTAAGGAGAAACTTCCTGACAGTTAGAACAATTAACCAGTGGAACAACCTGCCTCCAGAAGCAGTGAATGCTCCAACACTGGAAGTTTTTAAGAAGAGACTGGACAGCCATTTGTCTGAAATGGTATAGGGTTTCCTGCCTGAGCAGGGGGTTGGACTAGATGACCTCCAAGGTCCCTTATTATTATTATTATATTATTATTATGGATCATCGCACAGTCAGCCAGATGTTCAGACTGGATTTGGCATTTTGTCTACCTATCGAGTCCTTACCCAGGACCTGGGATAGGCAGATGTGGATGTTTGATGGTATTACAGATATCGTCGCAGGATGGAAGCAGTTCCTAATAAGGCCGCCTTTTGCAATTGACTAATAGCGAATTTGTCAATGCCAATGGTGTTCAAGTGGTGCTCCAGTTGTTTTGGGATTGCACCCAAGGAGCCTATGACTATTGGTACTACCCTTGCTTGCTTTTGCCACAGTCTTTCTATTTCTATTTGTAGGTCTTTGTATTTTGTTATCTTCTCCAGTTCTTTCTCTTCTATTCTGCTATCTCCAGGCACTGCCACATCCACTATCCAGACTTTTTTGTCTTTCTTATCGACAATTGTTAAGTCTGGGGTGTTATTATTATTATTATTATTATTATTATTATTATTATTATTATTCAGGATCACAGCTCTAGATTCTTCTCTCCGTTTTCCTTAAGTTCTCCATTTTACATTGGAACTGTATAAAAATCTTTTTAAAAGGTAATGGAAAGCAAACCATAGTCCTACTTTGAACCATCGTATTTGCACATAATGACATAAGTGTAGTTTGTTTCTTTTTACCATTTTCTTGGTTTAAATCATGTTTTGCTAACTATTGCATTTTTTTCCTCTCTCCAAGATTATCTCAGTAAGTTGTCTAAGAACTAGATAGGCTCCAGATGACAGCACCATAGGAATAAAAGAAAAATTATTTCAGGAGTGATCAGCGCAAAGGTTGTTTATTTTATTTTGTTTGCCATGTGCTCAATAACTTTTGGGAGCACTTGGCAAAATCACTGCAGATTGTTTTGCTTCCTTTCTACAGCTGGATGGGATCGTACGAGGATGTATATAATAGCTATTTTCCACTCAGGTGAGATAAATTGAGCATCTTCGTGATACAGTAGTGGCCAAAATTGTGGAAACCTTTTGGGAAAAGTGTGCAGTCTAAATACCACCTTTGGTTCAGTTTCCACCAATTTTTCTTCTAATTTCTTTATAACTGTAGCCTTGTTCACTCAATTATACTATTTTACATCGTTTTCTGGGCAACCAGTTAACTCTTTGCACCATTACTTTAATTTTATTACGTTTTACAAGCTCACTAAATGAAAGAACACAAAAAAACCCAACCAACTTGATAGCGATCATATAACACACTGACCAATATCCTCTTCTCAGCTTCAATACAGGACATCAATCACTGAATCCTACTGTGATCTGATTGGCTCATTGGCAAAACAAGATGACACCTGATTGGCTGTCTAAACACTTGTGCTCATTGGCTACAATTGGATGAAGGAAAGCTTCCTGATATCAACCTAAGCAAGTTGTGCTTCCTTTTTCTGGTTATTTGGCTATATCTTTTCATAGAATACAGTGCAGATAATTGAACAAACTTTGTTGCATTACGTTCTTGATTAAATTATCTTTCCATTAATATATAATTTTATGGTACTACTCCAAAAACAAAGTGGTGTTATTAGCCATCAAACCTCAAAAATACACTTTTCCCAAAAGGTTTCCACAATTTTGGCTGCTACTGTATTATGAGATGGCCTTCCAATTCATCAAAACTGCTATTTCAAAACCATTTCTGACAGGCTCATGGCTATAATTTGGAATCACTGCATTTGATGACCATCTCATCCCTCAGTAAAAACAGTATCTGGGGATCCAAGAAGAAATATGTGGGTTGCTAATTCATAGGCCCCCTATAAATTAGATATGTCATCCACATGTCATAATACTACATACATATATTATACATATATTAGTCATAAACTACAGGGGTCCCCAACTTTGTGGCTCTGTGGACCTGCGTCAATGGGCAGTGGCTACAGTGGTGGGGAAAGGATGGTTTCACCCCTGTAACCTAATAGCAATGGCATTTAGACTTATATACCACTTCACAGTTTACAATGTCAGCACGTTGCCCCCAGCAATCTGGGTCCTCATTTTACCGACCTCGGAAGGACGGAAGGCTGAGTCAACCTTGAGCCGGTCAGGATCGAACTGTCCAACTACAGGCAGTAGGCAGTCAGCGAAAGTAGCCTGCAGTACTGCATTCTAACCACTGCACCACCATGCCCTAATCCCACGCATTCACAAATGGAGCTTTGCGTGCTTGTCTGCCGCTTGTGCGGCCCAGCGGGCTATGGACCAGTACCAGTCCCCAGACCGGGGATTGGGGATCCTTGATCTACTACATCTATATCTCTAAAGCAGTGGTTCTCAACGTTTCTAATGCCGCGACCCCATAATACAGTTCTCCATGTTGTGGTGACCCCCAACCACTTATACATCACCGGGTGCCAGGGGCGTGGCCAAAGAAAAGGGGGAAAAAATGGCGGACAGCCTTGTTTGGCGACCCCCGTGAAATGGTCGTTCGACCCCAAATGGGGTCCCGACCCACAGGTTGAGAACCACTGCTCTAAGGGCTAAGCACTGTTTTTAGATTTAAGCAAGCTGAGAAAACATATATACAGGTTTAAAAACTTAATCTAGAACAGATTTTCCTGTGGGTATTTTCCACCATACTACAGTGTCCTCTTCCCCTCCTCACAGTGAACGAAAAGGGTGTCATATTTCGCAACCTGAACTTTTCCTTCTGGGAATGGGAAAGAGGTAAAATGTAAACCCTGGTCATTTGAGGTGCTGGTGTTCACCTTAAATCCCTCTAAACCAGTGTTTCTCAACCTTGACAATTTTAAGGCATGTGGACTTCAACTCCCAGAATTCCACAGCCAGCATTGCTGGCTGTGGAATTCTGGGAGTTGAAGTCCACATGCCTTAAAATTGTCAAGGTTGAGAAACACTGCTCTAAACAATTTAGGACTTGACAATTTCCCTTGCTATGAACTCTTCCAATTACTTAAATCAGGAGAGGTCCTCTGGAAGAAGTGCTTTGAGACAGCCCCCACCCCCAAGCTCCCTGTAGTTATTAAAATGGCAAAATCTCTTCCCTTGCGTCAAGCTTTTAACTTAATGGTTCTGACGTTAATTTCAGTGGTGACTTCACTAAATTGATTCTACTGTCGCGATTTACATTTCCCATCTTACATAATGATTCTCTTCCAGAAACACTGGCATAACCCAATTTTTGCATACGTCACCTATCCTCTTGGATCCCATGCAACATTACACTGTGTGCATAATACAAAAGCTTACGCATTTAAGATGACTCATGCTTCATCTCTTATGCCTCATGGAAATATTTGCACGAAACCCTATGTGATCCAGGAAGCGTCTGAATGTGGCTGTACTGTTATAAAACTGCCTTGAATTCATGTAAGCTGAAAGATGAAGGATACATTCAGTAATGAAAATAAGTAATTGCTACTAAAAGTCCACCTTATCTTTAATATAATCAAGCAACGAATCAGCAAACACCTAGAGGCAAACAAAGTCATAACCAAAAAGACAAACACGGGTTTGTCAAAAACAGATCATGCCAGACAAATCTTATTGAATTCTTTGACCAGGTGAGAAATCTCCTGACAGTTAGAACAATTAATCCGTGGAACAACCTGTCTCCAGAAGTTGTGGATGCTCCAACACTGGAAGTTTTTAAGAAGAGACTGGACAACCATTTGTTTGAAATGTTATAGGGCAAGGATCCTCAACCTTGGCAACCTTAAGACTCGTGGACTTCAACTCCCAGAATTCCTCAGCCAGCAAAGTTGAAGTCCACAAGTCTTAAAGTTGCCAAGAGGGTTATAGGGTCTCCTGCCTGAGCAGGGGGTTGGACTAGAAGACCTCAAAGGTCCCTTCCAACTCTATTATTGTTATTGTTATATCTAACTTGATCGACAGATTTATTTATATCATAAGGAAGAATGAGAATGTCTTATAGAAAATGTTATCCATTTGAGATTTTTTTCTTTATATGTAATATATATATATATATCTTTGGTTATTCGGGTTTTCTCCCGCGTAAAATTGGAAGTGTCTTGGCGACGTTTTGACGAAGTCCCATTCGTCATCTTCAGACTGGTGTTTTCAGCTTCGTGCTTTGAGGAGCAAATAATGCTCCTCGGAGCACAAAGCACGAAGCACGAAGCTGAAAACACCAGCCTGAAGATGACGAATGGGACTTCGTCAAAACGTCGCCAAGACACTTCCAATTTTACGCGGGAAAAAAACCCGAATAACCAAAGACCTACATACAAACACCCGCGAAGACCTCAGAAAATATATATATACACATAAGAGCAAAAGAACTCACCCATTCTGAAAATGCTGCTCAAGATCACAGCGTTGCAGAATTTCTGAACAGTGTTCTGTGAAAGGACAGTTCACCAGTAGCTTATCCAGCAGCTTATTCACTAGGATGCTTGACTTTCTGCACCTCTGTAGAGCTAGAGCTTTGCGGTCCATAGGGCAGAAGTCTTTTTCCACAAGGAAATCTGTAAGGCAAACTGTACAGTATGTGTGTCCACAGGGTGTATCCAGAGGTTGAAGCAAAGGCTGCAAGCAAATGTGGCAGATCAGGTCATCATCTACATCTTCTGTATAGGTGTATATATGGTTCTCTTCTGGAAGGTGCCTTTGGCCACAGGCCAAACATAATGGAACAGAGTTTCCTCCTGTCTCTTCCAATGGATCTTTTGGATTCATAATTGTATGTTCCCGTGTCACCAAAACAGAGGAGACGATGTTCGGCTTCTATGAGAACTTATCTCTGTCCAAACGTATTAGTCAGCCGTTCCTGAGAGCCTTCAGATCTGGAGAGAAGCCACACAATGGTCAGTTAATTTATGTCAGTATTCAAATTCTATATTATTCATTTCATGATGGAGCACCCAACAATCAAACTTTATTGCAACAAATCAATAAACCCGGCTGAAATATGTGTATACACATACCCACACACCCACACATCTACAGTAGTGGTCAAGATTGTGGAAACCTTTTGGGAAAAGTGTACAGTAGAAATGCCACCTTTGGTTAAGTTTCCACCCATTTTTCTTCTAATTTCTTTATAACGGTAGCCTTGTTCACTTAATAATACTATTTTACATCACCTTCTGGGCAACCAGTCAACTCTTTGCGTCATTACTTTAATTTTATTACATTTTACAAGCTCACTAAATGAAAGAACACAAAAAACCCCAACCAACTTGATAGCACTCACATAACATACTGATAAATGTCCTCCTCTCAGCTTCAATACAAGACATCAATCACTGAATCCTACTGTGATCTGATTGGCTCATTGCCAAAACACCTGATTGGCGCTCTAAACACTCACTCTCATTGGCTACAATCAGAGGAAGGAAAGCTACCTGATATCAACCTAAGCAAGTTGTGCTTCCTTTTTCTGGTTATTTGGCTATAACGTTTCATAGAATACAGTACAGTTCATTGAACAAACTATGTTGCATTACATTCTTGATTAAATTATCTTTCCATTGATGTATAATTTTATGGTACTACTCAAAAAAGGTGGAGTTATTAGCCATCAAACCTCATTACATCTGTCAATCAGTTGATTTTTCTCCTTAGAAAGAAAAATGATAGCTGAAGCAGTGAGAAAACAGAGTATAGCAATAAAGGACATCAATCCTTTAGAAAAATTCCATGAGGCAATATTACCACACAAGAGAAGTGTGGAAAAAAAATGAAATGGAAACATCTGAAAAAAAAACCTATATCCTTTTTAAGAGAAAACCGAGCTTGTATAAAGTCACTAGGAATCATTATAGCCAGCATGATAGCGCAAGGAAATACAAGGCCTCAAGTGTTGCATAATCACCTATAACCCACCTACCCCCATTAAAACTAAATAAAAATGGCTTCTACAATTATTTACTCACTTCCCCCCCCCCCCATACACACACACAAACACACATGCCACCCCAGGTAATAAATAATTCAAAGTATGACAAACAGTTGACTTAAACTGAAGTGTGTGTCACATGTCACCCTAAGCCATGTTTTAGAAACATTCAGAAAATGTTTGGATCTGTGCATCAGGTTAGGCCAGGGCTCGGCAACCTCAGTTCTTTTATGACTCGTGGACTTCAACTCCCAGAATTCGTGAGCCAGCATGGCTCAGCTTGGAAACCTCTCCCTGTCCCCTCAGCATGGCTGGCTTGGGAATTCTGGGAGTTGAAGTCCACCAGTCATAAAAGAGCCAAGGTTGCCTACCCCAACCGTTAGGCCATATACTCTAGTTTATAAACCATAAAGTCTAGGTTCACACAATCTATCATTCTAACCCAAATGAACTACATTATATTAAGGCTTAATGTGATGTGTGAACCTAATCATGGTATTTTCTGAAGACTGGAGACACATCTCTCTCCATTCTGCTCTTCTTTTAATCTGTGTGATCCTTGTATCTAACTGAGCTACAAATATTCTCGTGAAATTGCAGACCAACAGGGATGCTGAGGGTGGGGAAATATCTCTATTTACAGTAGAAATGGTTGTCAGGATCTTTCATGAGATGTCAATTAGCTAGAAGGCATTCTGCAAGAGCAGGGGTAGGCAACCTTGGCTCTTTTATGACTCGTGGACTTCAGCTCCCAGAATTCCTGAGCCAGCATGGCTCAACTTGGAAACCTCTCCCTTTCCCCTCAGCATGGCTGGCTCAGGAATTCTGGGAGTTGAAGTCCACGAGTCATAAAAGAGCCAAGGTTGCCTACTCCTGTGCAAGAGCTTTCCTTTATCCACTCTGCCCCCTCAACTAAACTTTGTCCTTTTTTCTGAGCAGGTAGATCCTCTTCAAATAAAGGATGGAGCTGGTGCTACCTTTCACTTTCCCAGGAGGCTTTCAAAGGCTACAGGGGGCAAAGTGAATTTTGAAAGCACAATATGCTGGCAGCTGGCGTTCGGCTTGCAACAAACCTGATTTCTACTTACATTTTTTTTTTTTATGAATTAAGAGACTAAGAAAAAGGAGGTGGAGCATTGAATCGGTGCCAAGGAGAGTCTTTGTAGACAAGGAAGGCAATTGCTTATAAATGTCACATTCCTGCTTTAAAAAAAACCTATCACCATCATAAGCACTGTACAACTATGTCTCAAAGACTGGGGCATATTACAGTGTTATTATAAAAATACATGTGCAAATTGTTTGAATACTCAGGCTACAGAAATGCCAACAACTGGGAACACTTTGATAGTTCAGTAAAATATCTCAAGAGGTTCTGCTAGGGAAGAGTTACCGTATTTTCCGGCGTATTAGACGACCCGGCGTATAAGACGGCCCCCGACTTCAGAGCCGATTTGAATGCCTAGAAAGTCATCTTATATGCCAGAAACTACTGTAATTTCCGGCGTATAAGATGACCCACGACTTCAGAGCTGATTTGAATGCCTAGAAAGTCGTCTTATACGCCGGAAACTACCATAAGTTCCGGCGTATAAGACGACTGGGCATATAAGACGACCCCCGATTTCGGAGCCAATTTGAATGCTTTAGAAAGTCGTCTTATACGCCGGAAAATACGGTAATCAGTTCAAACAGATGTTCTCATTCTATCAGAATAATAGACCTACATCCATCATCGCAAGAGCCCTGGTGGCGGTGCTTCGAGTGCAGTATCACAGGCTAATTTTGCTGACTGCCAGCAGTTCGATTCTGACTGGCTCAAGCCCAAGGGTGCTTTTTCACAAGGCAGCAAGTCCAGTTGCTTCATGAAAAAGCACCTTTGGGATAACTATAACCTGGATGACTGAGAATCTCCATAGATTTTTAGCTATGACAGGCTCAAGGTTGACTCGGCCTTCCAGCCTTCTGAGGAGGGTAAAATGAGATCCCAGATTGTTGGGGGCAATAGGCTGACTCTGTAAACTGCTTAGAGAGGGCTGTAAAGTACTGTGAAGCGGTATATAAGTCTAAGTGCTGTTGCTATTGCTTAATAGTTACCCCAATTCTTGTCTGCTTCTTGAAAGATCATTTCTCCTGGAACACAGCATTAGAAGTAGCACCATGCTACTACCTTAGGGGAAAGAGGTAGGCAAAGTCAGGGCAAAACCTACCATATTTTCCGGAGTATAAGACGACCCGGCGTATAAGACGACCTCCGACTTTGGCGCCGATTTCCATGCCTAGAAAATCATCTTATACGCCGGAAACTACCGTAATTTCTGGCGTATAAGACGACTTGGCGTATAAGACGACCCCCGACTTTGGTGCTGATTTCAACGCTTTAGAAAGTCGTCTTATACTACGGAAAATACGGTACATCTGATTTCATTTATATTTAGAAATTAAATTGGTTTAACATGATTGTTCCTCATGAATATATTTAAACATTTTCCTCTTGGCAGAAACTTTGTAAAGGTTCTGGAGGACAGTAGCCAAAGTCTGCAGCAGCCACATGCAGCCTGCTTCTCAGCGCCAGTGCTAATGGGGATGGCGAAGAACTGCCTTGTGCTGGTATTACAAGCATATCTTCTCTTTGCTGTTATTCCCTTCTGACCATTTTTTGAAAAATATATCCTTTGAGTTTGCATAGTTTTGCACAGAAGCGCATAATTCCATTTGCACGATCAATCTCTCCTTGATCTGGAAGCTTAATATTCATTTCTCTGTTTAGTTTTCCTCAGCTCCATTGTTATTGTTTTTCAGCTGCTGGCTCTTATAGCCATAATTTTGATTTGGCTGAAATACCTGTTAAAAACTCTTGAAGGCAACTGTTCCTCACATGGCCTCCTACAGCAATATGGGGATTGTAACTCCCAGGCTAGTTCCAACTCCTTTGGAAAGCACCCAATTTGGAAAACACCAACTTATATTTGTAATTGTTGAACTCGGTGATAATTAAAGCTACAGAGGACAATCAATTTTTTCCTCCGTGCTGCAAAATCCAAAACTAAAATTTACCAAGTCTGACTACTGTACAGTTTCTAAATTCTGGAATACGTTTTGTTGCAAAAAAACGACAACAGCCACGCATCACTGCTTCCTGCTCTCATTTCTCTCAAGTGGCACTATGTTTTGAGCACTCAGGTTTATGTATGGAAAGACAATTGCTATCCAAACTCTGAAAGATTACATGACAATTTCGTTAATTTCACTGGATGGGGAAAGATAAAGGAGGGGAAATCCTCTCTTTGATGTACCATTTATATATCAAGTATAAGAGAAAGGCAGAAAAGGATAAGAGGTCAAAATATATTTATGTTATCTACAGCCTGTGTTTATAATGGAAGTAACTTCTGTATGCTGTACTTCATTCTGTCATCACTGTTAATCTTACTGCATACATATTTACATCTTGAGGACTCAGACGGAGGAGACTTTTTGTTCACACTGGTTTCAAGTTAGGGATAAGGACCATTTTTATTCAGAAGTGAGTCCTAGTGGGTTGGGTGATCTTATGGCCTACTAAGGATATAGGTCGTTCTCAACTTACAATGGAATACTGAACCTAGAATTTCTGTTACTCAGTGAGACAGCTGTTAAATGAATTTTGCCCCATTTTACGACCTTTCTTGCCATACTTATTAAGCGAATCACTGCAGTTATTAAATTAGTCACACGGTTGTTAAGTGAACCTGGCTTCCCCATTGACTTTGCTTGTCAGAAGGTCGCAAAAGGGGATGACGTGACCCCTGGGGGACACTGCAACCGTCATAAATATGAGTCAGTTAACAAGCATCTGAATTTTTTTTATATAAATATTTTATTAATTTTCTAGTTTTACGATCATAGTGCTTAATAAACAACGTGTTGTTTGGGTACATTAGTAATTTGGTGGTACATACCGTATTTTCTGGCATATAAGACAACTTTCTAAAGCATTGAAATCAGCACCGAAGTCGAAGGTCATCTTATACACCGAGTCATCTTATATGCCGGAAATTACGGTAGTTTCCAACGTATAAGATGACTTTCTAGGCATGGAAATCGGCGCCAAAGTCGGGGGTCATCTTATACACCGGGTCGCCTTATACGCTGGAAAATATGGTATTAATTTCTTCTCCAAGGTAGGTAACCTTGGCTCTTTTATGACTCGTGGACTTCAGCTCCCAAAATTCCTGAGCCAGCATGGCTCAGCTTGGAAACCTCTCCCTTTCCCCTCAGCATGGCTGGCTCAGGAATTCTGGGAGCTGAGGTCCACGAGTCATAAAAGAGCCAAAGTTGCGTACCCCCTGAACTAGGCCCAATATGACACCATCCAATGCTTCCTCTCTTCTTCCGGTATTACACATTTTCCCACACTAGGCAAATACAATTCTTATTGTTGTTAATACATACACAATTGAATATCAACATCTTTGTTACATTTTCCTAATAATATCAATAATGTCGGTTTAAAATGTCTTTTCTAACCAAAATATATCTTAATTGCATTTGCACTTAATATCCATTTGTTCAATTATTATCCTGTTTTTCCCACTTTTTTAAAAAAAATAAATTTCCCATCCGTGTTCAAAATATCTCTATCACTTATAATTTCTCATAATAAGTTATGTTTGGGTAACCAAAAGCTTCCCTTATTCAAACCCTCTTAGCATTTTCATATTTCCCTTCTCATACCAAGATATAATATTCTAGTTATAAATCCTATCTTTCTAGTTATAATAATACTTCTATTTTTAACAATTATCTATTCTCAGCCATGTTCAAACATCTGATTAATAGTATAATATCTTATCTAATGGGTCAAAATTCTCTATTTACTGCAATCTTATTCTAGCTTTCTTCCTTTGCCAACTAACTTTCCAAGTCGATGCATTTGAATCATCAAGTAATTCTTCCTCTGTTTTTGTGTATATTGTTTGGAATAAGAAAGACAATTTGATTAAAGTCTTTTTGGAAGGAAACAAGCGTCTGAATTTTGATCATGTCACCATGGGGAAGCTGCAATTGCGGTAACTGAAAAACAATCATAAGTCACTTTTTTTCAGCGCCATCGTAACTTCAAACAATCACTAAGTGAACTGTTGTAAGTCAAGGACTATCTGTATTTGGGAGGACAGGCTAAAAAAAATCTGTATTTAATTCTTTCTCGCACTTCCCAGGTTTGATTTCACTGAAATTTGCAAGGAGAATGGTTTGTAGAAAATGTGGCTATGCTGAAAGCAAGGGATAGCTATGTGGGATTAAAGAAATAGATCTGAGGGCAGGGATTCAAGATTAAGAGATTCAAGAAGATAAACCTGAAGAGAAAGTGGGAGATGACAATCTCCATAGAGAAGATAGCACTGATGGTAGTGATGAGGGACATACTATTTGGTGGGGCAAATATTGAGTTCCTCAGCAGGCAGCAGTCCTTGCCTGATCTTTGGTGGCAGCCATGCCTCAGGTAGAAAGTCCATGCAAAGAATGGTAAGATCAGCTGAGAAGATCATAGGAAACTTGCTTCCTGCTATTCAGCATGCTGCTTATAAGCGCTAATGTGCTTAGAGCTCAAATAATTGTTAGAGACCCCACACATCCACTTTACAGTCTGTTTCTGTTGCTGCTCTCTGGGAGGAGGTTTTGAAGTATTTATAGTAGGACTACCGATTCTATAATAGCTTTGTTCCCTATGCCATCCATCTGGTAAACTCGCAAGATTCATTTTTCTCGCCATGCGCATGTATACATAAGCCGAACTAGACTGTGTTGTTTCTTTGTGTCATAGAATATATCTGGGTATATGCATAATTCTGTATTTATTTATTTATGTCATATTTATGTAGTGTATATCAGAGGTGGTGACCCTTTGAGAGCTGTATGCAACGAAATTTCATTTTAATGTATGCCGACTAGTGTGCATTCAACGTGACAATTAAAGTTATCATTCTATTATTCTATTCTATCTTATCTGGGTGTGGAAGTACAGTGGTCTTGATTCGTACTTGACATCTATTTGTGCTTGGATGAGACATCTCCTGAGACTACCGCAGCTGAAGACTACAACACTGCTTCTCATTCTTGGCAACTTTAAAACATGTGGGCTTCAATTTTCAGAAATCCCCAGCCAGAATTCTGGGAAGTGAAGTCCACATGTCTTAAAGTTGCCAAGATTGAGAAACTCTTCAGTAGACGGAGAGAGCTGGATAAAAGATTCCAGAAGGTGGAAATGACAACCTCAGGCCAACTCTGTTATTAAGAAAACTACATGAATATGTTTGTGAAGTAACAGAATAACAAAGTTGGAAGGGATCTTGGAGGTCTTCTAATCCAATCTCCTGCTTCAGCAGGAGAACCTTTACCATTTCAGACATATGGTTGTCCAATCTCTTCTTAAAAACTTCTAGTGTTGGAGCATTCAGAACTTCAGGAGGCAATCCGTTCCACGGATTAATTGATCTATTGATTAATTGATTAATCGCTTCTTGTCCTGAAGGCAGGACAAGAAGCAACGGGTGGAAACTAATCAAGGAGAGAAGCAACCTAGAACTAAGGAGAAACTTCCTGACAGTGAGAACAATTAATCAGTGGAACAGCCTGCCTCCAGAAGCAGTAAATGCTCCAACACTGGAAGTTTTTAAGAAGAGACTGGACAGCCATTTGTCCGAAAGGGTGTAGGGTTTCCTGCCTGAACAGGGGGTTGGACTAGATGACCTCCAAGGTCCCTTCCAACTTTACTACTACTACTATTATTATTTCACTGTCAGGAAATTCCTCCTTAGTTCTAGGTTGCTTCTCTCCTTGATTAGTTTCCATCCGTTGCTTCTTGTCCTGCCTTCAGGCGTTTTGGAGAAAAGCTTGACTCCCTCTTCTTTGGGGCAGCCTCTTAACTGAGCAAGAATTCTGGCTTTTCTTCGTTTTTTATTATTTTATTTATTTGTAGTCCAGCTTATTTTTTTAAATAAATAACTGAAAGCTATGAGCATAACTAATACGCCTTCCTCTTCCTATTTTCCCACACTCTGTCGTAGGTTGGGTTGAGAGGGAGGGGCTGTCCCAAAGCCACCCAGCCAAGGTGGGACAGAACTCATGGTCTAAAAAAAAATATTGAATAGTTTTTGTTGTTTCGACCAATACTGAATGCAAGTTGAACAAAACAGGCGTTACTGTAATTGTTTCATGAAGAAAGAATTTCGTACCCTCTGTTTTTCTGTCTGCAAGCTTGAATCTCAATCACCCCTTCCTGTTTTTCAGGGTCTGATGCAGAAAGAAACTGCAGGCTCCTTAAAGGCCTGCGTTCTTGTAGGGTTCTAAGAACTTAGGCTAATATATACTTCCAAGATAATCTGACATGTCAGGTCTAGCCAGCTATATAAACATGTGTAGCCTCCAACAGCTTCCAGGGAGAACATGCAGAATCCATCTCTACAAGCTCATTCCCGTGGCTTCAAAGCATCAGCGTTTATTACAGGCTGCTGCTAAATGCTGGTACTTTTTTTTGCCAAAGAGGATGTTGGACCTGCAAAGCATTCATACCTCTTTGGAAAGTCATCTTAATGAGTCAATAGCTGGGGGGTTGGATGCAAATTCATCTGACTCTAATTCATCCAGCTGACACCAACCATGTGATTCTCTGTTCCGCACTTTGCAGTCTTGATATAGCACCTCTCTCTTCAGGTCAGTTTTGCTGTTTATGAAAAGGAAATTGATGTTTCAGTATGTTTCAGCCACATGGAATGCGAACTGCAGAATTTGTTGGCTGAAAGCCCAGGCAGAAGAGGCACAAGCAGGGGGCAGGATTCTCCCCGCCCCCCGCCCCAAATCTCTTGGTTAACTTTGTATATCCTGGTAGATGGATACAACATCCATGAACCACAAATGTCAATAGCCTATTTTGGGGTTGAACAATAGGGAACTGATTCAACAAGGATGGGAAAGAGCCGGTGGAAGTTCCCTCTGGATGGGATATCAGCTTCTGGGAAGAAATACATCCAAAACGGAAGGGGAGGGGGCAAGGGCAAAGCTTGAGTAGCTGTAGAAAAGCTTGAGCTTTTGTTGTTAGTTGCGAAGTCATGTCCCACCCAACGCGACCCCATGGACCACGTTCCTCCAGGCCTTCCTGTCCTCTACCATCTTCTGGAGTCCATTTAAGCTCACGCCTACTGCTTCAGTGACTCCATCCAGCCACCTCATTCTCTGTCGTCCCCTTCTTCTATTGCCCTCAATCTTTCCCAGCATTAGGCCCTTCTCCAGTGAGTCCTTCCTTCTCATTAGGTGGCCAAAGTATTTGAGTTTCAACTTCAGGATCTGGCCTTCTAAAGAGCAGTCGGGGTTGATCTCTTCTAGGACTGACCGGTTTGAACGCCTTGCAGTCCAAGGGACTCGCAGGAGTCTTCTCCAGCACCATAGTTCAAAGGCCTCAATTCTTTTGCGCTCAGCCTTTCTTATGGTCCAACTTTCACAGCCATACATTGCAACTGGGAAAACCATGGCCTGGACTATACGTACTTTTGTTGGCAGGGTGATGTCTCTGCTTTTTAGTATGCTGTCTAGATTTGCCATAGCTTTCCTCCCCAGGAGCAAGCGTCTTTTAATTTCTTGGCTGCAGTCCCCATCTGAGGTGACCTTTGAGCCCAGAAAAATAAAATCTCTCACTACCTCCATTTCTTCCCCATCTCTTTGCCAGGAATTGAGAGGGCCGGATGCCATGATCTTGGTTTTCTTAATGTTGAGTTTTAAGCCAACTTTTGCACTCTCCTTTTTCACCCGCATCAAGAGGCTCTTTAGTCCCTCTTCACTTTCTGCCATTGGGGCTTTAGATACCATAAAAAATGGTAAGAAATCCCCTTAGTTTTCTTTTCAGAGAGTTTGGCCATCTGGAATAAATCAGCCCTTAGTGAAACTAACCTGCTTGTTATTAGCAGTTAAGATGTTTATGCATAAGCATTGCATATTCACTATCATTATTCCTTCATAGCTATTATAAAACTGAATTTCTAAATAGGATTTACAAAGACAATTTGAAACTAACTTTTTTTAATGACTAATTTATATGCTTTCATATCTAACCCTGAATAACTACCTCTTGTGAATGAATGTTACTATTTTGGCACGTTAAGTAATAGTTGGTATGATGGGCAAAATAACTATGGTGTGATCTTGGTCAGTATAGGAAAAAGAATATTATTTATTTGCCGATCAATCTATATCCTTCCTTACTGATTGAAGAATACTATTCAAGGCAACTAATTAAGTCTGGGGCCTTCAAACTTGGCCCTTTTATGACTTGTGGACTTCAACTCCCAGAATTCCTCAGCCAGGCACGCATCCCTGAACTAAGGTGTAGGGTAGGTAAAAAAGTCAAAATGATTTAATCACATGGGCACAGTTCACATCTTGATGCAATGAATGTCTCTACAACTAACAACTGAAAGTACTCAAGAACAGAATAGATAAAATACAGAACAAAGCAGCTTGATGTAGCAAGCATTTTACAAGACATATTCTCAATTAAACTAATGCAATAATAAGGCCACACTTGGAATACTGCATCCAGTTTTGGTCACCATGATGTAAAAAAGATGCTGAGACTCTAGAAAGAGTACAGAGAAGAGCAACAAAGATGATTAGGGGACTGGAGGCTAAAACATATAAGGGACAGTTGCTGGAATTGGGTATGTCTAGTTTAATGAAGAGAAGGACGAGGGGGGACATGATAGCAGTGTTGCAATATCTCAGGGGCTGCCACAAAGAAGAGGGAGTCAAGCTATTCTCCAAGGCGTCTGAAGGCAGGATGAGAAGCGATGGATGGAAACTGATCAAGGAGAGAAGCAACCTAGAACTAAGGAGAAACTTCCTGACAGTTAGAACAATTAACCAATGGAACAACCAGCCTCCAGAAGCGGTGAATGCTCCAACACTGGAAGTTTTTAAGAAGAGACTGGACAGCCATTTGTCTGAAATGGTGTAGGGTTCCTGCCTGAGCAGGGGGTTGGACTCGATGACCTCCAACGTCCCTTCCAACTTTATTATTATTATTATTATTATTATTATTATTATTATTATTATTATTATTATTATTATTATTATTATTACTATATTAAAAAAAATCTTCCCAGAACATAGCTTCAGTATGAAAAAGCTAGCTTTTCTTTCTATTAATTTAATGAATATTGTTTTCCTTGTTTATTTCCCAAAAGCAAGGTTATTAAGTCAATTGAGAATAAGGGTCAATTCTACTCTGATAAAATTATATTGGTCATAATTCTGCATGCAAGTTATGGACCATTGGGATGAAAGGACATGAAAAATGGGCTTCAGACCAAAATGCAAATTCATGTTATTCATCTATTGCCAGCTAAAGAAAATGCAAATGCTGTTTTCATTAGCACTGAGTTTCACTGATGGTTGTTAACAAGTTTAGTACTCAGCACTTTATGTTTCCTGGCAGTCACTGAAGACAGAGAGAGTGAAGGGAAGACATAGAATATAGAATAATAGTGTTGGAAAGGACCTTGGAGATCTTCTACAACCCTCTCCTTGAGCAGGAAACCCAATACCATTTCAGACAAATGGCTGTCCAGTTTCCTTTTGAAAGCCTCCACTGATGGAGCACCCACAACTTCTGAAGGAAAGCTATTCCATTGGTTGATTGTTCTCACCATTAGGAAATTTCTCCTTAGTTCTAGGTTGCTTCTCTCCTTGGTTAGTTTCCATCCATTGTTTCTAATCTTGCCTTTTGCTTCTTTGGAAAATAGCTTGACCCCTCCTTGTAGGAACTGCTCAAATATTGGAACACTGCTATCATGTCTCCCCTAGCTTTTATTTTCATTAGACTAGACCAGGGGTAGGCAACCTTGGCTCTTTTATGACTCGAGGACTTCAACTCCCAGAATTCCTGAGCCAGCCATGCTGAGGGGAAAGGGAGAGGTTTCCAAGCTGAGCCATGCTGGCTCAGGAATTCTGGGAGTTGAAGTCCACGAGTCATAAAGTGGCCTAGGCCTAGGCCAAAGGTAAGCAACCTTGGCTCTTTTATGACTCGAGGACTTCAACTCCCAGAATTCCTGAGCCAGCTGTGCTGAGGGGAAAGGGAGAGGTTTCCAAGCTGAGCCATGCTGGCTCAGGAATTCTGGGAGTTGAAGTCCATGAGTCATAAAAGAGCCAAGGTTGCCTATCCCTGGACTAGACATACCCAATTCCTGTAACTGTTCTTAGTATGTTGAAGCCTCCAGCCCCCTAATCATCTTAGTTGTTCTACTCTGCACTCTTTCCAGAGTCTCAACATTTTTTTTATAATATGGTGACCAAAACTGGATGCAATATTCCAAGTGTGGGCTTACTAAGGCTTTATTAGACAATACATTAAATGGAAATGGTCAAAAATGTTCACGGGAATATCTGAGGACGTTTAGTGAGATGGCATATTTACCAAGCATAAAACTGATTCAGTGACATCATTGTGTCCCGGGGGAAGGCAAATGATGAAATGGGTGTCACCGTGTCATAACCCCAAACTTCACCTGTATTGTACATGCATTGTGATATAACATACAAATACATAAGTTTATATCATGGCATCACAATACACATTTCATTATCTGATGAGGACTTTAGTTGCTGCCAAAGTCTAAATTAAAGATTGTTATGATACCTACACATATCATAAGAAACCAAGATAGTCAGCTATAAGGGTTCTCCTTCTGTCTTTCAAATCTCAGATATGATGGCAACTTTAATCATACAATAATTCGGATAAATGGGACGTCCAATAGAGATCAAAATTTCACTGGGATTCTGAAGACATAACGTTCTAACAAATAAGTATTAGGAATTACTACTAAGTTTGTATGAAGCTAGATTTCCATTAATAAACCTCATTCTACTGTAATTCATATCTTGAAAACCATGTCAGAAATAGTGATACTCTAAATCAGGGGTGGATACGTGACGCCAAAACCGCGCCCACCCCATTTCCAGCAATGGGGAAAAAGGTGAGATATGTCGCGACACGTTATTTGACGTTGTGAGTTTGACACCCGTGCTCTAAACATATAACTAACTATTGACCTACAATTAATGATAAAGATAAAATTAACCATTTAATTCTTACTTCTTGAGTGCCACTGTCAGTAAATTTAGAAGTTCCACTCCCATGAGACTTTGAAATGAAACAACCACTAGCATTAAATCAGTGTTTTTTTTCCCTTTCTCTTTCACTTGTCTCTCCTCCTTTCCCCCTTTTTCTATTTTCCCATTATTTTCATTTGTATTTTACATTTTGATAAGTTCAATACAAATTATTTTCAAAAAAGAACAGGAAAAATTCACTCAAAGATACACTTTAAAAAGAGTATAATAGAGAAAATTGCATGAATGTAATGGCAATTACATACTTAAAAATAACTTGCATTGGGAGATTTTTGACTTTAAAGACCTGCAATATGTAAACTTACATATCAAAGAAGAAAAGCAGAGCAATTTGCATTTTTGTAAAAAAGAAAAGAAAAGTTCTTGGATCAGTGCTAACATCAGTTACATAAATTAGGTAGAATAAATCTCTGTCCTTTGGGACACTTAAATATGAAGTTATACAATAATATATGATGTTTTCCAAATATATGGCAATGTTTTCCAAAGCATTCTTGTCTCTATTCTCAAACAGCCATAATTCTACATGTGCACATTACA